GCTGCAGATTCATGGTGGATAATGTTCCGATCAGAGTATTCAACAATGCAGAGCAGCTTGGTGTTCCGTTTCCAAAGAAACAACCAATGAGGATTTACTCGAGTTTGTGGAATGCAGATGATTGGGCTACTAGAGGTGGTTTGGTTAAGACTGATTGGTCTAGAGCTCCTTTCACTGCTTACTACAGAGGCTTTAACGCTGCGGCTTGCACTGTCTCTTCAGGGTCATCTTATTGTGACCCTAAGTTTAAGAGCTCGTTCACTAATGGTGAGTCTCAAGTGGCTAATGAGCTTAATGCTTATGGGAGAAGAAGGTTGAGATGGGTCCAAAAGTATTTCATGATTTATGATTATTGCTCTGATCTTAAAAGGTTTCCTCAAGGATTCCCACCAGAGTGTAGGAGGTCTAGAGTCTAAAAAAACCAATAATGATTCGCTCTCTCGCTCTTGTTGTGTAGTGCAAATTCTCTTTGTTGTTATTCTAATAAATTATTGACCCTATCTTTATTGGCTTTGCTTACTCCAATGCTTATTCATTCTACGGGGTCAATAAATGTGTCACGAGACTCACGGACAATTTACTAAACAGACGCCAAAATAAGCAATAATTTTTAAGTATGAAACACTTGTACAAATACAACAATCCAAATTAAACACACAGAAAGATCACAAGTAAACATGTGGAGTAAATACGTAACACACAATCTTCTTCTTGTTGTTGTTGTTATCTGCAACTTGCTTAGAGATCGATCACAGGAGGTTTGCTTTTTACAGTCTTGTTACGTATGTGTACATAGAAGAAGAGGTGATTTTTTTTTTTTAAAGATGATAATAAATACGATCACATGTAATATATGTATAACGGCTACTTGATCTATCTTTTGCTTAGGAGGGACAATTGAAAGAGACAGCTAATACCTTTCACTTTTCTCAAAATTTTAAAAAGAGCATGAAACTGGATAATCTGGAGACAGGTTACACTAAAAAAGGAGGATCCTAGTTGCTTGAGGGTGATGTATGGATCAAGTTGTTAGGTTCGGATGCTTTTAGGATCGTCTTCTCGTGAACGTAGTGAGCGAATTTCACTCTTGCTCGTTGTTCCTTCTGGAAACAAACATGGAGAGTGAGAATCATGTGTTTTTAACTGATTTCAACTACATGTTGTCTTTAGCATAAAGCAGAATGAGACAATTGATTATGGATAAACTCACGGGGATTCTGCAGTGAACTTGAAGATCATCGTTCATCTGGAGGAGGCGGCTTTTTGCAAGCTCTGCAGCCTCATAAGCTCTCTTTGAAGCTTCTCCAGCCTGTTAAAATCAACATAATTTAGATTCAATTACGTACTTCTTTAGATATGCACAATTGTAAAGCGGAACACTTATTTAAGTTTCCAACATAAAGTTGCAAGTGTGTAACAACTTGTACTACTAAAAGAACTGTTACGAAGTTTGTTCTGCACACACCTGACTTTTGTAGGATTCATTGTGATCTGCTGAACCATATTTCTCCAACATATCCCTGAGAAGAGATATTTCTCCAACTAGATCCAAAACCATTTCTTCAGTATCTTGTAACTGATTCCTCGAGAACTCAAATGCTCTCTCTGCGTTTAGGCGGAACAAGGAGCAATTCAAACAAGAGCATATCCCTCTACATCCTCTTATACTTCTTTTTAGAATCCCTTTCGATGGAGAAACGGAGGAAGGAGTTTCCATTTCAGCAGAAGGGTCTAGCTGCTCAGCTGTTAGATTCGAACTATCTGCGCTGGTTTTAGCTTCTGTTCTCTCTGCACCATTCATGTTTTCTTCGCCCACCACGTTGTCGATAAATGTGTTGTCCAATGCAGATTTAGAAACCTCACTTAAACTTCTTGAACCAACAAGAGGAGAAGATAAATGGACCTCAGAGACCAAACCATTGTGAGGAGATGATAATGGGACCTCAGAAACCAAATCATTGTGAGGAGATGATAATGGGACTTCAGAGACCAAAACATTGTGAGGAGATGAT